AGCTGAAACTCCAAACTTCACTTACCTATTTGGAAGGCCAAGAAGAAGATTATCTTGCTATAGCTGTGTATTGTTTGAGAAATGCGTACAAAAACTAGGTTTGGGTGCGTGGAAATTTGTAACCAGAACCGGTTGATTCCTCGGGTCCTACATAGATGATATAACGCCCATTGTGTTGCTGGACATATTGCATGCGGCCAAACTTTCACTGCTAAACTATCTTTCTTTCTCTCTCTCTTTCTCTTTCTTTCTGTCTCTCTTTCTCTCTATCTGTCTCTCTCTTTCTATCTATCTCACTTTATCTCTATCCTTCTATCCCCATGCCTATCTCCCCATGTCTATCTCTCTCCATCTCTTTATCTCCATCTCCCCATCTCTATCTCGCGATCTATAAATACATCTCTCTCTCTCTCTCGCAATTTTTCCATCTCTCTATCTGTATCTCTTTCTCTTTTTCTCTCTCTATCTTTCTCTCTCTTTCTATCTCCCTCTCTCTCTTTCTCGCTCCATCTCTTCATGTACCCATCTCCACTCCTTTGTCCCTCTTCATCTCCCTCTGTCTCTCTCTCCCTCCCTCCGTCTAATTCTCTCTCTCTCTCCCTCCCTTCCTCTATTTCTCTCTCTCTCTCTCTCCCTCCCTTCCTCTATTTCTCTCTCTCTCTCTCCCTCCCTTCCTCTATTTCTCTCTCTCTCTCTCTCTCCCTCCCTTCCTCTATTTCTCTCTCTCCCTCTCTCCCTCTCTCCCTCTCTCTCTGTATCTACTGTGAAAGCAGTACTGATTACATTCTCCACTGCCTTCACACATTCCTGGCACTTGTTGTTGTCAATTAGACCTATGCCAGAAACCGGGCCACTTCAATTGGGCTTACCGCAGCAAGGGCAAGATTGCGGTGATTGTACTTTCCCTACACATTATTTGAACTAATGAGCCTAACTTCACAAATAGCTGGTCGTACAAAAAAGATGAACACAAAAAAATAAAGAGAAGTTAAAAACAGAAGGGTTAAAAAGAAGTCCTTAGCTAGAAGATCGACTACAAAAGACCTTAAGGTAGTCGTGGTCAGTAATGACTTCGACCTTGTTGGTATGGTTTTGATGAGTTTTTTAAGAGAAAGGAAGCTTTTAGATTGTTCGAAATGAGATCGAGTTGGTAGTAGGCAGAAAGACGAGAAATAAAGGCGTAAAAAAGTTATCTCGCAGTATAAGGCGCCATTGTGGATAATTTAGCCACTATGCGCTGTAGCAGACTTGTCTCTCCGTGAGAGCGATAGTGACTGCCATGAATGTGAAATGAGTAGGGCGTGTTTTAATGTAGCCAACCGCAAGTGCACCAATAGCATTGAGGAAAAGCATGCGAATGACGATTTTAAAAAGCTGCGCTCGTGTAAATCGGAAAGCCCTTGAGACCATGTACGACCAATAATAAAGCTGAATTGTTTGTGAGGTAATATTCGTAAAGCGTGATATCCATGTACATTGGTTTTTTTTTTCATATCAAACACTGTATTAACAAAAGTTACCAGTTTTAGAATCCCAAGTTTAATGGAGGGGACTGGGCTGAAAAAAATCTCATAAAATACGCTTAGATTTTCAAGGAGTTTGGCAAATTACTAAGACCCAGAGGGCACATTTTTGTTTAGTTCGTGCCTTTAAGGTACTATGCATAAAGTCAATGGCAAGCATGAACTAATCTGGTGAAATCCTAAACTAGTGTCATTTAAAAAAAAACAAAAATACTTCAATAAAAATTTCCTAGAAATGCTACTTAATGTCTACTTTCCACTGTCTACGTCAGAGCGGGAATTCGTTGTGGCGAGATCTGCTAGTGTTGCGCTGAGAGAGCAGAAATCATAGGTTTCTCAGCATTTCCAAATAAGGCGGACAGTAATATGCCTCAAAATACTAGACACAAATATAATTTTGCTGCCTATGTTATGAAGAAGATAAATTCTCTCTAAGCTTAACTTTTTTCTAAAATTATTAGTTGTTTAATGTTTTCAACAAATAAACTGTGATCTAGGAACTCTTAGTAACTTCGCCCTTCTCTTCCATCAGCATGGGAGACCGCAAATCAGTGCATATAACTGAATGTTGGTGAAAAAGAGATTTCATTCACCGGTTCTTGAATTTGTTATACGGCGGAAGTTCTCAAATTATGGTGCTTAGTCCATTTGCGGGGGTCTTCATTGTAAAAGGAAGCTCTCATTCAAGGCTTTATTATACTTCACTGGAGCTGGCTTCTACATAGCCCGTCCCAAGCTCAGTGCACTAGCGTATTGTTCTAATAGTGGATTTGTGTTTTGGCAGAAGAAAACTAATTTGAAGTTCCCAATCATCTCCATCTTCTTTTAAAGTATCTATTGGATTTATGTACTCTATTAAAGACTTTAGAAAACCTTTTGTATTTGCAATACTTTACTGGTCCTATACGGCGTTTTTAGCAAGTCTAACAATCTACGAGTCCGCATATCGTTCCTTAAATTGGCAGTTAAAATTTTTCGCTTAAGCCAACAATTTTCCCTTTTCTTTGTACACTCAACCAGGTCAAGTGGATAAAGGGTAGGCGGCGGAAAGGCAGCTACCTAAAAGTAGTTGTAACGACTAATGCGCAGATACGAACGCTCAACTATAACTGAAGCTGGATAAAGTGTTGAGCTGACCAATTCACTAAAGCAGCTGGAGCAGCAAGTGGAACTAATGCCCTCAAAAAAAAAAAAAAAACATCATTGTAATAGTGGGTGTTGTGAGTAGACCATGTATGGCGAAAATATACCCTGCACGAAAAACGACTAGTTGGAAGTTATATCATTACTAGTTTTTATAACACTATTCAAATACTAGTTCATTTTTGAATAATGAAATACCACTTTAAAAAAATATAATGAATCCAAATCACAACATAAGAAAGCGTAATTATACAGCAGTGAAATCAACTATTATAACTCCGGTTTTTGGTAAGCTGAAACATAGTAGTTTGTAAAATAATGGCGTATTAGCAGTTTGGAAGTAAATTTTCTACTCGCTATTTATAACTGTCGTTCTAGGGTTTTGTCTGTTTTATATATGTATGTGCCTATTTTGGGCGCTGTTCGCAAGTTAACTGTATTTTTTTTTTCTTGTTGCTAAACACTATTTGCGCAGGCATCGTAGATCAATGAGGATTTCCGGTTCAATTCGTGTGCCGTCCGTTTACATTTTCGTTTACTTTTCAGCGTTTTTGCACACACTCCATTTTCTAGAGCAATTGGTGGGAGACAAAATAGCGCAGTTGCTTTCTTTTCTTTGCTATTTTGGACTATTTTTCTTTCTTTTCTTACTTTTCTTCACCACTTTTTTCGCTTAAATTGTATGCCGTAAGTGTAAATCTTTTTTGTTTGTTGCCTGCTTTTAGGCGTAAGCGCTTTTACTCCACTTCGTTTTGTTTGATGGATTTAGCACTTTTTCAACCACTTTCGACAGCTTCGTATGAAATCGAATTCTTTTCTTCTTCTTGCACTTTTTCATGGTTGTCGCTTTGCCTTACTCTCAAGTAGATAACGTGCTTACATACATATCAGTGCTTTCCCGAGGTTTTTAATATTTTTTTTTATAATTCTTTTTTTTGTTGTCCTGTCAGTTGTTATGCCGGTATGGTATTTGATTTTTTATGTTGTCTTGTGATTTGTTGTTGTGCTGGACATGTTGTTGTAATGTATTTTTGTAAGAAAATTTTTTTTAAGACATACATGTTTTAATACATATTTATGCATTCCTAAGTATTATATATTAATAATTTTTTTCCTTTAGTTTCGCTCAAAGGCACTTCTTCTATCTTGTTTTTCTTGCTTGATTTCTTTTCCAATTTTCAAAGTGTCACTTTATTCGCATTGCCATTAATCAAAAATTGCTTAAACAAGCGTGATTGCGTAGTGCTTATGCGAGTTAAGTAATGCAAAAGGATTCGTTGGAAGGTGTTCAGATGTGTTTGTCTATATACTACGTATGTAAGAGTGAGGGTGTTTATGAGGAAAGTGTTGCACAAGGACACGACCTAATAGCTTCGTTTAAAGTGCTTTTATATGAATTAAATATGAGCTTTTAGAACAAATAACCTCACTCAAGGCAGGGAAATTGATTTTCAAATATTTATAAGGTATGCATGTATGCATGTATACGAGTGCATACAGCTTTGTACTGTTTCACTACACATCGAGAATTAATACTTAATATTTGGAAATCTTCTTTGCAAAAGATCAGTGCTATAGCAACAAACATCGGCACAATGGAAATTTCAATTTTTATTTTAATTTTAATTTTATTTCTAATTCTAATTCTAATTTTAATTCTAATTCTAATTCTAATTCTAATTCTAATTCTAATTCTAATTCTAATTCTAATTCTAATTCTAATTCTAATTCTAATTCTAATTCTAATTCTAATTCTAATTCTAATTCTAATTCTAATTCTAATTCTAATTCTAATTCTAATTCTAATTCTAATTCTAATTCTAATTCTAATTCTAATTCTAATTCTAATTCTAATTCTAATTCTAATTCTAATTCTAATTCTAATTCTAATTCTAATTCTAATTCTAATTCTAATTCTAATTCTAATTCTAATTCTAATTCTAATTCTAATTCTAATTCTAATTCTAATTCTAATTCTAATTCTAATTCTAATTCTAATTCTAATTCTAATTCTAATTCTAATTCTAATTCTAATTCTAATTCTAATTCTAATTCTAATTCTAATTCTAATTCTAATTCTAATTCTAATTCTAATTCTAATTCTAATTCTAATTCTAATTCTAATTCTAATTCTAATTCTAATTCTAATTCTAATTCTAATTCTAATTCTAATTCTAATTCTAATTCTAATTCTAATTCTAATTCTAATTCTAATTCTAATTCTAATTTTAATTTTAATTTTAATTTTAATTTTAATTTTAATTTTAATTTTAATTTTAATTTTAATTTTAATTTTAATTTTAATTTTAATTGAATTTTCCTAAATTTTCTTACCATTTCTTAAGTGTAGAACGGCGCTCACATTATTCGCATGTTACCTGAAAATGATAAGAGATAAATTGAGTTTAAAAATATTTTTTAATAAAGTCATTTTTAACAGAAAATTTGTAATTTTTTTTTAATGTTGAACAATGAGCTGCAAATGCCCGCATTTAAAATTTCAATTAAAAACCTTTTAACGATACTAACGATCTGTTAAGATAAATTAAAAATACACAATTCATTTTGTATATGTGTGCAACTGTGTCAATGAGCTTAGCAGCTGTCACTAATAAACAAGGCTGATTTATACTGAAAAATAGCTAGAATTGTAATAAACTGCAAATTTTTTTATGTTCCATACAATTTGTTTACGATGTCCTCTACATAACAAGTATTTCACACACTACTTAGCTCACATCAGTCAGTCAGCCAACAACTAACAGCGAGCGAGCGAGCGATCAAGTAACAGCTAAAGATCCAAATTATAGCGTAGTCATAAAAATATATATGCGATCGTTAAAATGAGTGCGTAAAAGTAGAGTAAAATGAATGCGAAGGAATTACAAAAATAAAGAACAAATGCTAATTTTTGCTAATTAAAGTTTAAGACAAAAGCATTAAGAACGTATAAGTATATGAATGCAAAGGTTACATACAGGGTGATTTTGTCAAATTCTTGCCTGACAAACAATTCATACGAGAGACTGTAAAGCTGCTTAAAGCTATTCTTATTCTTGGTGTTTTGCCTTCCATTAGCTAGTCAGGTTAATCTGATTCAATCGATCGATCTGACTCTCTGTCTTCAGGTTCGAAAATTTTTCGAAGAATTTTTCTTTTCAAAGTCAATAGATTAATTTTTTTTCTTAGCTTATTGTCCAAGTTTCAGCTCCTTGGCTAAAGACTGAGCGCATTAAGGGTTTGTTTTCGCTGTTTGGTCTTGCATTTAACTTTGGATTCAGTATTGTGCAGACTCATTATTATTATTATTCTGGCTTAGTTTTCGGGAATGTTACGTCTTTTAATTATAACTTGAATTTTTAATCTGTGAATTGAATTTCCGAAGCTTCTGCATCTAACAATAAAAAGATCAATTCTCCTGAATTTAATGAATTTAATATAAATGGTATTTTTATTTCGATGAAGTGAACCTGGAGCAAGGTGTACTTAGACGTCGCTGTAATATCAATACCAGTTTCAAGCTACTCTTAAGCATTTTGCCTTTAAGTGCGTAAGTGTCGTAGATCAAAGTAAGGCCTTGGTATAACACTAGGTTAGAAAAAAGAAACTTTTCGTTAAGCAATTACTAAAGAAAGTGAAGAAATTAATCTATAAAATCCTCCGATCATTATCATATAAGTTAATGAAGAAGTTGGCGTATATGTAGGTTAGCATAAGCTGGTTACCGAATGAAGCACCTAACAGTGATGTTCGTAGAATTTTTGAATGAATTTTGTAGTGATCTAATGATCTTGACTATGTGGTGGATGAAAAAGGAACCCCCAGCCAGGCACTCGAGCTTCTGTTAAGCCAATATCTGTGAGTGTGCGGTCTGCCGTTGTGATGATGAAACACATTTCTCCTCCTGTTTGTCAAAGCTTTGTACCTACGGATGGTTCAATTGCTGACAGTACAGTTCTGATGGGAGACTTTAGGCGTAGCTTACCAGCAAATAGGGGATAATAATTTATTGCCAATACCACTAGATAAAACCTTTCTGATCGCCAATCCTTGCTTAGAGACCGCATGTGCCGGCTTTTTGCCCTTCGAACGCAAACTACAGATTACTAAAACCATCGATTGTCAAAATAATGCATTGCCTTTTACATCTTATGGCCTTCGAATAATTTTGTATTTGATTGTTTGCTTTAACTGCCGGTATTAGCGTTTACTGCAATATTTTCATTATTCCCAGAAAAGTGGTAAAAGTAAAAATTGTATGATTTTTTCTTTAAATATTGTTTGTTTTTAGAAATAAATAGAATTTGGAACTTTCACCTTTTATGTGCAGTTATTTAAAAAATACGGCGGTGTTCTTAATTTTTGCTTAACGGTAATGTCTCATTGTCAAAGGTCAATGGAAAAAATTCAATCGAGTTTGCTCGAGCCGTTTTACAGCTTTCTATGATATCATTAAATTTAAAGTGCAAGTTAATTTATAATGTTTTCAGGAAAAGTCCTAAAATGCCTTTTAAATCCTTAAATGTTCTTTCTGTTTCCTTTTGAGTTAAAATTTTTTCTTTTTTTCTCATCGTGCAATTAATCACCCTTTATACTTTTACTACAAATCTACATAAGTTTTGTATGTACACATTAGACTGATGGCTAAAATTTAAAATTTTCTTTAAAAGCCCAAAACAGTTTTCTTTCTTTATGGACGCTGTATTCTACAATTCGTCTACGATAAAGGCGAAAACGCAAGACAGACTGAAAATGTGAAAAGTGTCTATGGCCCTGATGCTGTACCAGTCAATCATGCACAGTTCTGGTTTCGTCGATTTCATTTCGATAAACTGTCTATATGTATGTATAAAAGACTTTCTCGGAATGACTGGAAAGTGTGTTCAACGCAGCTGATAAGAAAGGGTTTTCTAGTAAGTGGACTTGAGATTAATCAATCGGAAAAAATCTATTATAAATTTAAATCGTTCGATGAAATGACAATTGGTACACACGTAACTCTACTGTTTCACACATAATTTCGAAGAAGTAGTCCCGAAACCCGGAATTTGTATTACGCCCTGCAGGTTAGGGGCTCAAGAATTTACCGGCGGTAAGGAATCCTGTCGTAAGAGGCGACTAAAATCCAATAGTTCCCGCGACAGTCGGGTCTTTATACCGGAACGACCCGGATTTTTATCCGGCCAAAGACTGTCACTCCCGCAACATTCCCCAAAAAGTGCTTTGGAGAATAATTTTGCGGTTACAACAACAACAACAACAACAACAACAACAACAACAACAACAATAAGAATAATAATAAAAATAATAATTTTGATTTACATATAAATTGGTCAAATAGTTATTTTTGATCAGGGATCGATTCGATGGTCTGACTTTGCTGAATATTTTTAACATAAATAATATAATATTTAATATTCTAAAAGTTATATTAGTTAGATAACTGTTAGATAACGAACTTTCATCTGCGAAACGCTGTGAAATTGAAACAAAGTCGAACGATTTCTGAAGCGGATGGATAATTCCAACTACGGCGCCCGTGATTGCCGAGTCATTAGCACTGCGTAAGGCGGTTATAAACTGGAAAGACCTACGCATACCACAAATTGGAGGAGGGGCTTGGTTACAAAGAGCCAACTATGTATATAACTATGATTAAAAACGCATTAGTTCGGTCGTTATAAGAGAAAATTCCAAAATTGTTTCAGACCATTCATTGGTAGAAAGTTGTTTGCTCAATAAAGGTAACACAACGATTGTTCTTCTATCGCAAAAGTGAAAATATATTTGAAAAAACTTTGGTTTTAGAAACCCGAAAAATTTGACATATTTTTAATTAAAACAAATTAATCCTGTTCGAACAAAAGTGTTTAGAAAGGAGGTTTGATGATGAAACGTGGTGGTTTCCGAAATAGCAGCTATGACTTCTACCGTCCAAAACTATTGTGGTAATTTTTTCACTATTTCCAGAAAAATAGATAGTCTGATGGAACAGTCCCATAAAAATTCAAAAATAAATTAATTTTGTCGTAATTTTGGTAACACTCTAATGCTTCAGCAAAGAAATGTACATTTATATATCAACTGAGTTATGCTGAACGCGTTGGCTAGAGAATTTTTCAATTGCCCATAAAGACTTCATTAGCCTGTAATTAAAACGCAAGAGACCACCACGTAAAGAATGAAGGAAAAAATATAAGAGAGCAATAAAAAAATGAATAAAACAAACCCATAGATATGAATCAAATTTCGCATTTTTATTGTGAGCAATAAAGTCAAAAAATTAAAATTATCACAGCAAATCTACTCTCAAAAGATTTACCATCTACGCCAGCATCGGCAAGAATACTCAGCAATGCAGGTATGCATGTGTTAAGCTTATATTCTTTTATTTTTTATGCCAGTTTTTCTTATATTTCTTAAATTTTTGCCAAAATGCTACTTTTACTCTGTTCAGCGAACTTTCTTTGCATGGATTTTTCTAGTCTCTAACTTTCTAACTGTTTTAGCAGTTGTTTAATTTATTTAGACGGAATTCACAAGAATTGTATATAAAAGTCTGCAACTTAATTATAATCAACACATTAGACTACAAGTAGAACAAGATGAAGCTGCTGCTGACCTTAGCTGCTCTCAGCGCCTGCCACAGCTTGAGTGTGGCTGAAGATATGAAGGAGTCGCGTTTCATTGACGAAAATGGTAATTTCAATTGAATGCAAATAAATGCAAAATTAATTTCTTTCTTATAACGCAGCACTCAAGACACTTCTCGAGCTAACACGCCAAACGCAGTCGACGACTGCTGCGGCGCCACTCAAATTGCAATATCCTTATCTCGCGCAGAAGGAGAAGCTGACGTTACAAGGTGAAAGACAAACCCGTTATCCACTGCAATCCTTGAACGTTGATTTTGCATTGCTGCCGCAGACGTTTGTTACAACACAACAACAACAACAACAACAACAGCAGCAACCGCAGCAACCGCAGCTTTCTCGTCCTGCAACTTCAGCTCATGAGAAACTCGTCGATGTAAAACCCATTTATTTACCATATCCGCTGAAAGGTCAGCCCGTATATACACGAGCAACTTTCCAAGCACTTGCTGATCTGCAAGCGACGCTCGGTGAAGATCAAAAACCGCCATATATGTCCAGCTATCCAATTGGTATTCCACCAGCCGTTGAACACACGAAAATACCAGCACATTTTGCTACCACTTATGCCGCATTGGAAGCGTACAACCCAACAACAAAACCACAAAGCATTAATGCACCAGTGGAACACAGGCAACCCGCTTATCTCACATTCCCCAATCTCTTTGCGCATGCCAACCAGCATCAAGCAGGTATCCAGTTGTCTTATCATCAGCAAGCACAAC